CTCTCTCTCTCTCTCTTTCTCCCTCCCTTTTCTGTTTTCCTCACCTCATTGTTCGCCCTACATTTCTGTGATCTTCCCAATCCTGTGGCTGCCCCCCCTTCCCCCAGGCCAGCGTTTGCTCCCCTCCTCCCGGTTTCATCTCCCAAATGTTGGCTCTCACTCATCCCTGTGCCCTCCGGCTCCCCTGTCGCCCCCCTACCCGTCTCAGCACGGAGGACACGGCGTTATTGATCTTCCGGGAGCATATTTCATGTGGCCCTTTAGTTAACATTCCGTGTATCTCTGTGATCAATGCCTGTTTGAAATGGGATTAATCTGCTTCTCTCCAGCAAGAATTAGCATGAACCTCGCCTTATTCATCTTGCCGTTCTAATAATGCAGCCTCCGAGATGTGGGTGTCTGCCATTAATAAACGCACGCAGCCAAGTTAATAAAATGACACCAATACCTTTACTCTCCGGCACGCTCACGTCCAGGGTTATGTTGTAAAAGGGCCTGTTTTTCATCTCCGTGGTTCCCTTGGATTTCTTTTCCCCTCTGATTTGTATGGCTTTCCCTCCCTCGCCTTTTGCACAAGAAAGTCTCCTTGTGCAGATGGACTCTTCCCTCTGGGCTCCTGCTGGAGCAAAAAATGGGGGCAGGGCGAGGAGGGGGCTGCCGGGCAGGAGCCTGTGTGTGCGGAGCACCGCTCAGCAGGCAGAGCGATTGGGTTCGTAGGGCACCGCGCCCTCCCCCGCCTCCCCATCACAGCCAGGATACAGCTCATCTCGGATAGAGCCGAGCCTGGGGGAACGGAAGGAAGAAGAGGAAAATGAAGAACAAACCTGTTTCTAGAGCCTGAATCCTGCTCTGGCCCGCAGCCTACATTCAGCAGGAGCCTAGGTGCGTTGAGGGCAAGGCACAAATTCGCTTGCCCAGGGTCACACGGCTCGGGGAGGTTTGGCTGCAATTTGTAGCCAGGGGCGTCTTGTCTTTCCACCAAAGTTGTGAATCTCCTGGGGGGAGATCTCAAGGTCCTGTCCCTCTGTCCTGCCACCCTATCCCCAGGGTTTTGTGTTTTCCTTCTGCCCTCAGACACCCGACTCTGCCTTTTCAGACCCTATTTCTACCACCTGTGCCTAGGCCTTTTTTTTTTTT